TCATTCTGCCCCGTAGAAAAACAGTGCTTGACTGTGCTGAGCTTCAGATTCCTCATCTGTAAACTGGAGAGCCACACCCAGTTGGTTCCCACGGCCTACCTGGGGTCTAACAATCATAAACTAGTCTTGGATGTAAAACAATGAGCTTCCATCTGCGTTGCCCCTGCTATCTGTCACTACCCACTTTGACCTGATTCCTTCTAGGTCTGTTTAGCACAGAACTTTGTTTTCCTGAATACATGCTTACTATACCAGTAATCATAGAACCTGCTGCCTGTACAAACCAAAACTATAACACTTTGAAGAGAAATACCTTAATATATTATTAAATATATTTCAAATAATTAATGTATCATATTAATTATCATAATTAATTTATAAGATACTATAAATAACTTCTTTTTGTATTAGAAAAATTTCTAACTCTACCTCTGATTAAAAAGTATAATGGATGCTCACATGAAAAAATTGACAATTGGGGCTGGGGAGATAGCTCAGCAGCATAAGCACCTGCCTGGCTAAGTGCAAGGACCTGAGTTTGATCCCCAGTACCACATGCCAGCCCTGAAATCAAGGTGTGGTGGTGCACACCTGTAATCGCAGTGCTGGGGAGGCTGAGACATGAGGATCACCATGAGTCCAAACTGTGTGGTGCGACCCCATATGAGAAAAATTTGACAAATGTACTGGGCATTGTGGTGCATGGAGTTGGGGGACTGAGGCTTGATCACTGTGAGTTTAAGACCAGCCTGGGCTACAAAGTGAGCCAACCTGAACTACATAGTGAGACCTTATCTCCAAAAGACCAAAAAAAAAAAAAGGGGGCGGGGAGGTGGCAGGAAGATGGCTCAGTGGAATAAGCACTTTCCTGGCAAGTACAACGGCCTGAGTTCAATCCCCTGTTCTGTCAAAAAAAAAAAAAAAAAAAAAAAAAAAAAGAACATATGCTTTTATGGGGGAAAAAAAGACAAAAAAAAATTGACAAATGTAAAGAAGAAAACAAAACATCTCATAACTCAGAGATAGTCACTGTTGATATAATATATACCTTTCCAAAATTTTCTGATGCATGCATACATGTACCAATAATGCAGATCATTCTGTGTATGTCAATTAATAAAAAACATTGTACTCAATACTACGTCATGAAAAATTTCCCATGCTTAGAAGATTTCCTAGGTCGCTGTCTTAGTTATTTTTCTCATGGCTGAGACAAAATACCCCACATTCTATCTAGGATACTGGGATTCGGGCAGTGCCAAACGAAGCAGTGGAGTGATTTAGTAATCACACACCCTTTAATCCCAGCATTGTACCATAAATCAATCACACACTCCAGATCCAACCAGCTCTGAAAAAGTCCCATCTATGACTACATGAAGATTTGGGGGGACATGTAGACACAAGCCATAATACTGGCTTTTGTTTGAAAAATATTCCCCTAAAAATATATCAGCAATCAGGTGTGGTGGCACATGCCGTCATCCTAGTACTCGGGAGGGAGGAGGGAGGAGGACTGCTGCAAGTGCCAGGCCAGCCTGAGCTACACAGTGAATTCAAAGCCAGCCTGGACTACATAGCAAGACCCTGTCTCAAATAACAACAGCAACAGTAACAAATAGTGTATCTGAATTTATCTTACTGACGATTGGACAATTTGGGATGTTAAAGGACTGTCTTGATCTAGCAACAAAAGAAAGTACTTGACAGTAGGCACTTAGAGTTTCCAGGAAACCTTTTGTGCTCCAGATTACCAGTCGACTGGACAGCAGTACTTGGTCAGTGAGCAGAATTCTCCCCGTTGGCCTCTTCGTGGCATTTGTGTTGAAAACATTTGCATCAATCTCTTAAGTAGCCCTAGTTCTGATCACAGGGGGCCCTCTGCTGTTGCCTCTCTTCTTCACAACACATTTGTGACCCTAGTGACAATGAAAGAAATGTGGCATCCAAACTAGAAACATAGATCTCAGTCCTCAGCAAAAGTCATTTTCAGTCTATGAATCTCACTGTGAATCTCTGGGGGTCAGAATTTTAAAACAACAAATGAAAATTTAAAATTAGCTGCTTTTCCAACATTTATGCAGAAAGTTTTACATGATCCTTTTATATTGGTTCACTCATCTTACACAGAAATGCTGTGGTTCAATCTTAATAATACTTTCCTCGATCCAGCTTTTCCAGCAAATGAAGACAGATACACATTATATGGAGAAAATTAGGTCACTAGCATGAGCTTTCCTGCCCTTCCCTTCCTTATTTTTCTTCCTCAATAAATATTTGTAATAAAAAGAATTTACATTTCTGTCTCAAGTGTTGATTTCTGAAAGCCCTCTTTTAATTCCTCTAGGGCCACACATCACATGAAATCCACCCTGCTTACAGATGGAAACCCAAAGACAAAAGGAATTGAAGCTTGCCTCAAGGTCAGACTGTATGTTAAGACACAGCCAACATTAAAACCAGGGTGATGACTCAGAGTCTTATGCCCTGACCATGTTCCTTGCTACTGGGGCCAGATATCCTTACAGTCCTTGGGAGTAAAGTAGGGTTAGGATTTCAACAAGTAAGAGAAGGGAAATAACCATTATACAAACTCAGTAGGATGCCTGTTTCTTAGGAAAGCCCCTCATTATGAAAGAATAGGATTTATGGACATTTTTAAGCAAGGAGCAACACATTTTCATTCCTCTGGTAGAGATTTATTATGTCCAAGTTACCTCCCTCTATACTTTAGATAGAAGATAAAAAATTATAATGAGTAATATGTAAAGACCCCATACATGGATGGTATTTAATGTGTAAATGTTTTATCAAACAATAAAACTATGTAAGATCATTTTAGACATATCTAGCCCTTGCTATTTGCCAAAACTTTGTGTCACTGTTTTAATACTTGCAACAATTTTGTGGAATAGATATTATTATCTTCATTTCATACATGAGATCTAGAGAGTGTAAACAAAATCAGGACTTAAACTAAGCCTGACTGGCTTCAGATTGCCTCTTCTTAACCACAGTACTGTGCTATCACCTGTCCTTCAGTGACAGTCCTGCCTCCTCTCTGAGCACACATGACTAGCAAATTGCCTTTCTACATACCAAAATAATGCTATTCCTACCTATAAAGTGTGAAAAATAAACATTCCTGTTTCCTTATACTCTTGCCAATTTTGGACACTAGATAAATAAAACTTGTAGTCAGGTTCACTGTGTTTTGCCTTGAATTATGAAAAACAATAATGTTCAATCTCACCAATCATTAAAGAATGCTTGGGTCAGTCACGTGATTCAAAAGGGCAGTGGACATTTATATCAAAGTAGATGGAAAGGAGATGTACTCCAAGTAAAATTCAAGTAACTGAGAAATGTTCACTTCACTTCATATATGAGTATGTTGTCCTTTACATGGAGGGCTGGGGCCAGGAACTTTCTGATTTCAGGCTTTCTTTTTAAAATTTTGTAAGGAAGGTCTACCCCTGATGAGATATCTTAAGAATGAGCCCCAAGTCCAAATGTGAAATTCATTGCTGTTTCATATACGCCCCCCACACATGTAGCCTGCAGTAATGGTATGGAATTCTGTGCATGAAAGTAAGCCTCATAACATTAAATTCTCCCCTTTTGGTTTTATGTTGACACTCAGACATTTCAGATTTTGACGCATTTGGGAATTTAACTTTTTCGCTTATGGATGGACAACCCATATACCACCATTAAATACAATCTAACCCTAAAATCCACCCCCATCTACTATTCAACACTTTTTCTTCAAGTTTCTCTCCCCATCACAATGGCCTTCTATTAGCTATCTATTATGAACACTTTAGTTCTGCCTTACTGTGTCCCTCCTATTTGGGGCATTATGTTGTCCTTTCTGAAATCTCTTCTTTGTCATCTAGGACATATATTTTAGATTTTCTCCACCTCTGATGACATTCCAAGTTTGATGGCAGGGCACTCTAACTTCCTATACTCTCCAATCTTAGAGACTAATTAAAGGTTGTGTTTATGTACGCATGGTGGTACGTGCCTGCAGCCCCGGCACTGCGGAGCCTGAGACAGGAGGCTCACAAGTGTAAGCCTTAGTCTGGGCAGTTTAGCAAGCCCTTACCTCAAAATAAAAGTAAAAAGAGCAGGGGATGCAGCTCAGTGCCAAGGGCCAGTTTCCAGTGCATGGCCAGGGGGGTGGGGGTGGTTTTGCGTTGTCTCTTTTAGCTTCACATTAACTTGTTGCTAAGTCTCAAATCTTATCTCACATCAGCCCAGATACCTTCTTGGAAACTTAACGGATCCGGAGAACAGAAGTTTCTCTTCTCTTCCGCTAACACCAGCAAAGTTTCGCCTCCTTTCTCTGCTGTCCCATAAGGACACCACTCGACCCGGGACTGCCATCGTCCAGGCCAGCTGGTCACCCTGTGGTAGTCACTCCCGGCTCAGACGGCTTTGCAGTCTGCTCCGGCTTGTCCTTCACCGCCCATACACATCTTACAACAGGGCAGTGTGTCTGCAGAATGGAGCCATGAGTGAACCACTGGGTGTAGGGGGCTGTGAAGTCCAGGGATGGTTTTATACTTCTTCTGATTTCCTAGGGGGGTTCCTTACACTGAGTCTTCTTTAATCCAATGAAAGGCTGCTCTGAAATGGACATCAGGAGCCTTCTCCTGGACTTGTGCGCCAGCCTCTTCCCTCGCGCTCATCGGAAGCGCCTCCCTGCCCGCCCCTCCGCCTTCTCCATCCCTCCTTCCTCTGCGCCCCTCTCTGGCTTCCCGGTTCTTCTTCCTGGCCCCGCGCCCGCCCTCCCAGCACGCTGGTCAGCTCCTCGCTCCTGTTCGCTAAGCTCCGCCCCCGCGGGGGGCCCACTCCGGAGGCGGGGGGCGGGGAGCCGCGAGGGGGCGGGGCCAGGCCGGCCGCGAGGGGGCGGGGCCAGGCCGAGGAGCCGCAGCGCGCATGGGCGGAGCCGGGGCGCGGGCCGCCGTAGTATATCTGCGCCTGCGCGGCGTTCCTGCGGGGCCAGTCGGGACGGAGGAGACAAGATGGCGCTGCGGGCGATGCGAGGGATGGTGAACGGGGCCGCACCCGAGCTGCCGGTGCCCACCAGTGGGCCGGGGGCGGGAGCTCGGGAGCAGGCGCTGGCCGTCAGCAGGAACTACCTCTCCCAGCCGCGGCTCAGTGAGTATCAAGAAGCACGGCATACCCCGCCTTTGCCTCTGAGCTAGCCTTTGGTCCCACTCACCTGTTTAGCCAGAGTAGGCAGTGGGACGTGTTTTTCCCTGCTGTGTTCTCACTTGCCCACCCGGGGCCCATAGTGTCTCGCGGAGATTAGTTGTGCGTTTCCCTGACACCACGGGCGGAGGGCGAGAGCACCGACCGGGAACCCTGCTGGGGTCGGTGGGCTCCCGGCCGCGGCCCCCTCCGCCCCGACTCCCCTGGGCTGGAGAATGTCGGGCACTCGGCGCTCGGGGTCACTTCCTGTCCCTCGGACCTTAAGCTTCTGACCTCGTTCGAATGCCGTGGAATCCGCCTAACGCTGTTCCCACCCCTCCGGCTGCGAGGACCTGGGGGTGGGGGTGGAGAGCTCCAGACCCGCGCGGACCTTCGGTGGCATCGCCCGAGTGGGCCGGCCTTTCGCGGGTGGAGGTCGGGCCCTGCAGCAGGGACCCGGGCTTGTGGGGCGCAGGGGCTGCCTCGCAGGAGCACACGTCGCTATCGGAGAACCTTAGAGCTGAAAAGTACCCAGCAAGTCATTCAGTCCAGCCCTCTCATTTTACAAGTGAGAAGCCCGAAGGTTCTGGGAATGCTAGGACTTGCAGGCTTCAGACATCTCCGATTATTGGCAGAACAGGAACTAAAAGTCCTGATTTCTTAATTCTCCCCAGACTTT